CCTAGGGAGGTGGTGGAATCTCCATCCTAAGAGGTTTTTAAGGCCCGGCTTGACAAAGCCCTGGCCGGGATGATTTAGTTGGGGTTGGTCCTGCTTTGAACAGGGGGTTGGGCTAGATAACCTCCTGAGGTCTCTTCCAACTCTAATCTCCTATGAGTCTATGAAGGCTCAGGAGGGAAATGGTCTCTTGGGACATTCATTGCATCCACAGTTCCAGCCTGAATCTCAGCTAAGAACCAGACTGTAATTCCCTGAAGTCAAACCAGGACACAGCATTGTTCAGGGTGAAGTTCTGGCTTCTTTGAAGGGAGTTTTGCCTTTGGCTTCAATGGGGCCAGGATTTCACCCTACCTCCCTGAGGGTTTCCTGTTCAAACTCAGGCCTTGTCTACATAGGACATTTGGGCTGGTTTAACCTAAGGCATGAATTTAAGCGGCTTTAGTTCAAGTGCTGCAAACCCATGCTTGGAAACTTATCTCAGTTTCAGAAGGGCCTATATGAGTTTAAATTGATCGGGAACAGGATTAAGCTAAATTAAAGTGAAATAAGAGTGTCCACGCAGGAGGGTTGCATTGGTTTAAATTGGATTTCAGTTAAACTGGTGCAACTTTCCCATGTAGAGCAGGCTTCTGAAATGTGCAGTTGCCGATTTACAGCCCATTTTCTGCAAATAAAAGAATACTACATTGGGGATTCTGACTGGCGGCTGTGCAGTCTTCTTTCAAGTCCTCCTATTCCGGATGTTTTTCTTTCGCCCTCAACTTGCAGCACAAATGTCCTCTGGTCCAGCCAAACTTTAAACAACTGAAAGAGGGTTAAGACCCACGCAAACCACCAGATACAAGTGTGATCTCACCAATCAAACCTGAAACCATTGCAAAAAGGTAATGTTTTTCACTGACCCAAAGCATATCTGCTCCGCTCCGCCACCTAGTGGCACTGATTGGTGCATGTTGTAAAACTTCTGTGGTGAAAAATGGGTTACATGTATTACTTGAAGTCCCATTGATTTGGAATCAAAAGCCAAAGAGCAGACTTCTCTCACCCACCACAACTTTATAGAGCTGTATAAACCCCAGGGAAGTTCCAGAAGTGGTGCAGTGGCAGAGAATATCCCAATCCCCAAATGCCCTGCTAAAATCCACAGACAATCCTTGGGTATAAATTACAGCTAAGAAAACAGGAGTGATGACACATTAAAGAAGGGGAGAGAGAGAATATTTTACTCCTTTATTCTGTCCCTTCTTTGCATTTTAACATTTCTACTCTTGCCTTATGCCCCGGGGTGCAGTGCCTTGCACAGATCAACAGTCTGACAGTAAACACCTTCCCGCATTTCAGGTGTATTGTTTTCTTTGAGAGACTCCTGCTAAATTAATAGCCTTAAAAACACTTGTGTAAACTGCACAGCAAAATACACAGGGCCTGAGCCGGATCCCCTCTGTGCTAGTGTATATCAGGATAAGTCCACTGGCTAAATCCTCCTGCTGCGTTTCCGGAGAGTTTTGCCATTGACTTCAACGGACTGAGCTCTGACAAAGTTCAAATGAATAATGCCCAGGAGGCCCCTGGCCATCTCCTTAGAGCCGCTCATCTTAGTGGTAGAGCAGCTAAAATATTGGCAAAGCCAGTTCGGCAGGGGACAAGGGAAGGGACGGAACCAGCCCGTTGTTTTCCTTGGAGTTGTCCACACACCCTGCTGTATGCTGCCTGCTTCTCATAATTAGAGTGTCTGGACGGGAAGCAGCCAGGAAAAGGGTTTTGCGAGCGTTTCAGACCAGCACAGTTGGAGCGGTGATTAGAACACAGACAGACAAGCCAGTGGAATCCACCCGAGATGAAAGCCCATTTCGACCCGAGGAAAGGTGCTTGTGTCACCCCTTGCAGTCCGACAGAGCTGCCAGAGGAGAGCAGTGATGGAACACACTTCCCAGGTCTCAGGCTTTCTGATCCCGCCTCAGACTGCAAGAGGCGTCGTTAAAAGCCGATGCAGTCAGGTCTGAGCTACTCTGCTTTCTCCATACACTGACAGACACTTAGCAGCCTCATTTGGCCATATCCTCAGCTGGTGCGCACCAGCCAGGTTCCATAGACGTCAGTGCCGATTTGCACCAGCTAAGGATCTGGCCCACTGTCTGCTTTAAATGTAGTCCAAAAGAAACAGAGCTACAGGAAGTCAGCCAAATTCATTTCCTCCGTGGCCCCAAGGGAGCGAATTCGAAGACTGGTGGTTATTTGAATTGAGCCTCAGTGACGTTATTTCTAATGACACCATTAGCTTGTATTTATTGTAGCGCCGTTCATCCACACAGATCTCAAAGTGCTTTCTGAACGTCCCTAACATACATAGAGACACATAGAAAGCACTTTGCACAACTCCAAAATGCAGCCACCTCCGGGCCGCAGCAGTGCACAGCAACATGGCCGCAGACATGAGTCGACAGAGAGGACCCAACCAGTGAACTTCAGCACCGTAAGCACAGGCCTCTGCCACTTGACTCGGGAGAAAACACCGTCAGCAAGCTCCTGTCCTCACAGAGGGTGACCACGGTGTGGCACAGCCACGTGAACATGGAAGACCAGAGCCCAGACAATGGAGGGGGCCATTATTACACGGTAACTCTGCAGCCGTCCTTCGAGGGGAAGTGTAGCGAGGACCACGGTCACCCTGGAGGAGAGGCCAGATATGACTGGCCTCTCTGGGAGCAGGAGCAGCCAGCACAGGGGAACTGTAGTTCAACCAACCCAGCCCCGCTCCCACTTCCCTGTCCCCCTGGGCGGGCATGTCACAGCCACACAGAACTTCACCGCAACAGCTGGGACCGAACCCAAAGTCACACGCTCCAGGAACACAAGCGCTTCCTACCAGGGCCGAGCCAGAATCTCCTGCAGCGCTAGCAGGATTGGGGTGGTGAGGGAAGCGGTTTCATTCCCTCCTCCCTCTTGCACACAGAGCCAGGCACCAGCTCACCCTGGATGGATAATGGTGCTGAACACAGAGTCCCGCTCTTTGCAGTGAATCGGGAGCCGTGTCCCTTTCTCCTTAGTGCCGGCCCCTCTAGCTACCCTGCCAGGACCTAGTCGGAGCTATGGACCCCCCTGAGGGTGTCTGCCTGCCAAGGGCCTTGCTGCTCTCAGCTGGGTGGAGATCAGCAACAGCCCCTGCAAAAGAAAGGAGCAGAGCAGGTCTACGGAGCGGTAAGGAGTCATTGGAGGGCAGCCTGGCATGCTGTGGTTAGCCATAGGTAGGCCCCAGGGCCGGGAAACAGGCAGTGACTGGTGGCGGTGGATGATGCCGTAGGACAATGATGGAGGGTTTGGAGATTGGCTGCAGAGAAGCACCGAAAAGCTCAGTGGTCCAGCGCCCCAGGCTATTCAACGGGCTGGGGACACTGGGAAACCAGTAATGTTGGAAAAAACCCTCCTTGTATAACTCAGCAAGGCTGCCCTGGACGCAGTAGAGTGAGCTGAGGCTCTCGGGCACATTTTCTCAACTCAGAACAGGGACTCATCACCGGGTCACAGATGGTCCCATGCCGTAATTGCTGGAAAGGGCTCCCTTTAATCCGTCCAACAGCAATGGAAACAGAGTGACTCAAAGCCACCATCCCAGCCCAAACTCTGCATCAAAGACCTGAACTCTGGCCTCTGCAAAAACAAACACCCAACAGAGCCAGGGAAGAAAAACAAGGCGAAAGGCAACGAGCCATTGGAACAAATAAAACAGAGGCTGTTAAATGCCTGGTATGCACGATGTGTTGGGACTTGCTGCTGTCAGCAGCGTGAGCAGACATTCACATGCAGCCATTCATAAGACACACGGTAATTACCTTCTGCAGAGGCTGTATTGTGATGAGTTCTTGAAGCCGAGCATGATATCGCTAGCAACAGAATATCATTACAGCGGAGGATACAGGCCTTAACCCTCACAAAGCTCAGGGAAGGTGCTGGAGGGGGTGCTCTGCTGGGAGGCTGCAGGGAGCTCTCCCATTGTTAGTTATACTCATTTTACAGGGAGCCAAATGCTCATTTCACATGAGATTATGGCAGGATTGTTCCCGGCAGGACTCTGACCTTTTCCCCCTGAGCTCAGGGAGAAAAGCTCGGAGCATCGCATAACTCTCCCCCCAGTTGGCACCATCCTATAGGCCACCTGAGTTCAGCACAGCCAACCTATGTTGGATTGACAGCTCGGGGATAAAAACGAGAGATCAACTTGAAAGTGGAACAGCGGGGGAGTCCGGCGACGCTCCGGCAGAGTTCAGATGTGGATCCAAATTTCACGGCTCAGGCCCATCTCCACAAGGGTTTGACTCTCAGCATTCTGGACCCGAACACCTTGCCTCTAAGTCACAGTCAATCTCAGCAGCTCCACCAATTCTGTACTGGTGGAGGGTAGTGCCATGTCCAGCAGTAGGTGTCTCTGAACCAGGCATGCCTCCTCCTGGTAGTTAGGTTGTGAGGCCTCCCTGTGCTACCAGGATAAGCTAAAGTCTTTGGCATGCTGTTCACTGCCTCTGGGTCTGACTACTCTGTTCTGTGTAGGGTGTTATACTGCCCTTATCGCTGCAGTATCTGAGTCCTTTCCAGTCATGCACGCAGTGATGTGACTAACATCCATCACCTGGGGTTCATTCTCTCTCAGCCTCTCCCCAACTTCTGTCTTTGGGGTGTGGAGGAGGGAGCAACAGGAGAGCTGGACCTCCCCCGCCTATATTCCTAGGATGAGGCTTCATGGGATCAGCTTGCTTGCCTCCTTCCCCTCTGCTCATTTGGTAACAGCATCACCCCAAACGTTCCATCAAGTCCTACTGCTGCAACCTTGGCTCACCCCACCCATCACACGCTGTGCCAGGAGGGATCTCCCTAGCTCACTGCCCTGGAGAGATCCCAGAACATCAGGAGGACACAGGAAACGACAAGGAGACAACAGCTTTCAGCTCAGCAAAGGGGCTTCAATTCCCCCACAAGCCCTGCCTCTGTCTGCTGTTGGTACTCACTTGTCCAGGGACTTCTCAGGAAACGTGAACTGGCCATGGCAGATACGGTCGATGTAGCTCAGGGGGATCCGCTGCACCTGGAGGCAGCTGAGCATTATAAAGTCATATTTGCAGACCAGGAGGTTGGCATCTGTGATCACCACGACACGCTCCCTCTCGTTGTTCCAGTGATCTATCCTGGGGACAAAGCAGAGAGTTCAGGCAACGACCCTCCACGCCGCTGAGGGAGGAGAGCAGGTTGTGCTGATTACGGAAGATCAGAGCAGGCATCCAACCTTGGTTTGCATAAATAACCAGCACTGAAATTTGAAATGGCCCAGATAGGTCTACACCAGTGCCTGAGGGTGGATGGGTCCCTAGGCTTTCAGCAGGGCTGGCTTCAGCTTTTTTAGCAGCGAAGAAAAAAAAGATAAAGTCGTGATCGGCGGCACTTCGGCAGCAGCTCTACCGCGCCGCTTCATTCTTCGGCGGCAATTCGGCAGCCCGTCCTTCCCTCCGAGAGGGACTGAGGGACCCGCCGCCGAATTGCTGCTGAAAACCCGGACATGCCGCCCCTTACCCTTGGCCGCCCCAAGCACCTGTTTCCTGCGCTGGTGCCTAGAGCCGGCCCTGGCTTTCAGAGCAATTCCTATAGGCCCCTGGTAGTTTAATCCCTATTCAGTTGTGAAGGACTTTCCCATGTGGGAAAATAGAAAGCTGTTTTTTTTTTCTCATTTGAAATAATAATTAAAATAAAAAGAAGAACAGTCTGCTTCCTGGCTTGGAAACCCCAGGGATCAGCTTGGGGCATGTTTGCAATCGTTACATCTCTTGAGCATATTGTTCACTAACTTTTACAGACGGAATGCATTTTGTATCCAGTAGGTGGCAGTGCAGAGAGATCCCCCCCCAACCCCCCCGCCCTTTAAAGCCTCTCTGAAAAGTGACTACAACATTTCACGGCTTATTAAGATCTTGCTACATCT